ATTGCATTAGGCAAATCTGCGGCACAAGACCTTTTGAAAGTGTTGAAGAGCAAAGATGTGAGCTTGAGCACTAAGGTGCGCCTGGCCCAAGCCATGGTATTTTCAATAACCTCATATGCATGTGAAAGCTGGACAGTGAATAAAGAAGACCGTAGAAGTATTGATGCGTTTGAGTTATGGTGTTGAGGAGAATATTGAAAGTGCCATGGACTACCAAAAGAACCAATAGATCTGTTTTGGAAGAAGTGCAGCCAGAGTGCTCCTTGGAGGCCAGGATAGCCAAACTTTACCTCTCATACTTAGGACATATTGTTAGGAGGGACCAGTCACTGGAGAAGGGTGTTATGTTTGGTAAGGTGGAGGGTCAGAAAAAAAGAGGAAGACCCCCAATGAGATGGATTGGCCAAATGGCAGCATTGATGGACTCAAGCATGACAACAGTAGTGAGGTTGGCCCAGGATCGGGCAATGTTTCGTTTTGCTGTGCATAAGTTTGCTTATGAGTTGGTACCCACGCGATGGCACCTAACAACAACAACAACAACATTCTGCAGGAATGTTCTTCCTAGTAAATGGAAGTCTTCAGTGATTTCAACAGGAAATTGCTTATTCTTGTCCTGTGTTTTGACCGTGGCATGTTATGTTTTACTTGTATTAAATGTATTTATCATCATCATCATCATTATACTGAATTGGTAATACACTTGTGAATGTCTGTGATTGACCCAGCTATAAACAGGTGACATCATGATTTAGATTGCACTTGGAATACCAAGTAGAAACCTTGTCACCATTTCAAGAATTCAGAATTAGATGTGTTTGCACATCTAGAAGGGCAACATCCTGTTGGGTACCTACCATCTGTGAGTACTGAGGACTTGTTCCCTTACTTTCTATAATACACCAATTGTGCTGGCAGCTTGACTGATCCGATTCAAGGTATGGTATTAAACTGGTGAATTAATGTACTCTGAAATGTTTTTAAGGGAATCAGTAAGTGATTTTAAAATTGGGTCTTAGTCTGGGTCATTACATTAGGGTGCACCAACAAGTGAAATTTCAGTTTAGCAGGCATGTATTGAGTATATGTGCTGTGTTGGTAAATCAAGTTGGTGTGATTGACTTTTAGTACGCTTGGGTTAGATGGGACAGCCTTGGCAATGGGAGAGATTTTAGTTAGAATCTTGTTTACCTACTCCTCATCATGTCACCTGAGAGACACGTGTTACATATTTCCTTACTCTACTTTCTTCACTGGATGAGTCAAGTGCACAGCGTCTTGGAGTGGTACTTCGTGTCGTTATTGAACTTGATTCTCGCAGTGTGTTGATTAGCATTGACTGGTGTGTTCAGCATGATTTAATATTCTCTTCATATTTGTATACTCACCTTCAGAGAGCTGCTGTGTCAGTTCTGTTTGTGGCAAGCAGGAAGGGTTTTCTTCCGAGTTCCTGAATGATAAGTGGTATTATGGTCATGAGAGGCGAATTGCTGAACATTTTTTGAGACTCCAAGGGCTTTGGTGCTTTGGGAATCACTGCTGGATTGATACTTAGACACCTGGGTTCAGCTCAGCAAACATGGATTGAATGTTTGCTATTTGTCAAGTTCTTTGTCAGTCACTGCTCTCAGGAAGTATACAGTCCAGTCCAGTAAGGACCTGCTGACAGACAGAAAATTATAGAATAATGCAACCAATATATGCAACGAAAGACATGGGCACTGGGTGTTGATGCTTTATGAGTTTTATTCAGAGTGAGCAAGAGAGTAGGGTCTGTAAGCGAAATAAAGACTGAAGGATGAAGCCCAGCATGAGGATGGTTTTTGTTGTTGTTAAGTGCCGTGGAGTTGGTTCTGACCCATAGCGACCCTGTACAGGGTTTCCGAGGCTGTAAATCTTTACGGGAGTAGAAAGCCTCATCTTTCTCCCGTGCAACAGCTGGTAGTTTCAAACTGCTGACCTTGCGGTTCGCAGCTCGATTCGTAACCACTACGCAACCAGAGCTCCTTGAGGATGGTCTTTATAAGAAATCAAATTACTGCAAAATAGTCTAGGGAGAGGGAGTGTCATTGTAAAATGGTGTGTAAAATGGTGTGTAGCAGGTAGCTTGGTATTGCTGGACTCTATAATTTGTAAAGCGAATCATTGTGGGAGATGAAGGAATGTAGGACTTAAAAAAGTCTTGTGTGATGCACTCTGGAGCTTGAAATGACTGTCTTTTTAACTTTTTATATGAATTGGGTGATAGTTTACAGAATAGGTCATCAGTGTTCAGTTTTACATTCAACAATTCATACACATTTTGTCTCTTCTCATTGATTACAATCCTCTCAATATAATACCGCTTACCTCATTCCCCCCAGTTTTTCCTATTTCGATTCCTCCTTCTTTCCTAACCATTTGAACATTGTCTTCGGATAAATGCTGCCCTTTTGATTTCAAATGGCTGATTATTCTAAGGTGTTTATACCTCCCTAGTGTGATTGGTCCCCACTTATAGACCTACCTGCCATTTGGCTGAAAATTGAGCCATGGGCGTGAGTCCATTTTCAGACCTGAAGGGTGACTAAAAGGACTTAATGTCAGGATTTCTGCCAGTCTCTGTCTGACCAGTGAGCCTGGTCTTCTATTATTTTGAGTTTTGTTTCACAGTTTCCTTCCCCATATCTAGGCCCTTCTAATCCTCTTTCAGAGCAGTTGGTAGTGGTAGTTGAGCACCATTGAGGCCTTCTGGTCTCAGGGTTTGGAGACTGATCATCAATGTGGTCCTGTAGCCCTTTGGATTAATTATTTGCACAAGCCTTTGATTTTCATCACTTTTATTTGCTTGAAATTATTTTGAATTCATAGTAATGGGCTTACAGCAATTGAAAAGTTTGAAGCCAGGAGAATAGGAGGCCTGGTGGCACAGTGGGTTAAGTTTTGGACTGCCAACCAAAAGGTTGGTGGTTGGAATCCACCCACCACTTAGTGAGAGAAAGATGAAGCAATGTGCTTCTGTGAAGATTTAGAGTCTCAGAAACCAGTGGAGTAGGTCCACTCTGTCCTTTAGGGTCACTGTGAGCTGGAATTGACTCGAAGGCAGTGGGGTTTTTGTTGTTGGTTTTTAAACAGTAAGAGTGAAAGGATGAAGTATAGTTAGCTCCCTCTGATAGTAACCTGGAGTTCAGACATGTTAAGTGCCGCTGAATGGGTTCAGACCCATAGCAACCTTGTATTGGGTTTCCAAGGAGCATGTGGTGAGTTTGAACCACTGACCTTACTGTTCAAATCGAGTTTGCAGTTCAGCACATTAACCCACAGTGCCACAGCAGGAGTAAAGACTACACAGAAGTAAAATTGGAGGTAGGAATACTACTTAAGAAAGTTTGTAGGGTTTGAATTGAGTTTTGATTTAACAGAATTTGTTTAACTGAGCCAAGGCAGTGAGCTCATTAATTCATAAGAAAGTACGACAGAATATGAAGAAAAGAAAAAATATTTCCTCAAATATCCAAGAAGTGGACCATGCAGTGAGAGGATCTAGAAATGGAATGGTTGTAGAAGGAAGAGCAAGAGAGAGGAGGCTGGTGTTGGATTTGTATTACTGATGTCATCAACTAAGGGGGGGGCGGGGAGAAGAACACTGTGGATTTGAAGTGTTGGGGGAGAGGACTTTAGTTTTGAACCTGCTGAGTTTGAAGTGCTGCTAATGTTTCTAATGGGGCTTGCCATTAGGCAATTGTATATAAAAAACATGAGCTTCAGTCAAGAGGAAAATTAGGAATCAGCAGCATGTAAGTTGTGTCTGACCATGGAAAGCAAGGAGACGAGAACAAAGTCACCAAGGTGAAAGATAAGCTGAGGGAACAGACTGTAGGAAAGAATCGAAAAAGGAGTCTGATTAGGAATAAGATGTTGTACAAACTAATGAATTTTCTGAATCGCTGTTGTCGGTAGTATCAATAAGTCAGAAGTCCCAGAATATATCCATTGGATTTAAAAATCAAAATGTCACTTGTTCTTGTTAAGTGCCGTTGAGCCGGTTCCGACCCATAGCCATCCTGTATGGATAGGGTTGCAGGTTGCAGTGGAGCACATTAACTCACAGTGCCACACCAGGACTCTGGGACAGACGAGCATTTCTATTGGAATTGTACTTTATCACTTGTTATGGCACTGGGAAAAGCCATTTTATCTCTGACTCCTTCTAAATCAGAGGTTGGTTTCAACAAACAGTTTCCAATCTGTAATCTGTGGAACACTAGGGGTGCTTCTCATCAAGAAGATCAAGGGTAAGATCAGATATTTAGAAGGGGAGCGAGCCAAAATCTCTCTGCTCCTGCTTCAAACAGCATGTTGAGTAGCTTGATTTTTTTTTTTTTTTTTTTAAATCAATTTGACTTTGGGTTAAGATTTTATTTGTAGAAGCAGAGCAGTAGAAGCAATTTGAAAACTTCTGGCTAAGAGGAGCCATAAGATACCTTCAGGCTTTAAAAGCCATGTACTAACTGAATTTCCCATACTAGATGAAGATTATAGTAGATACTAACCTACTTGTGATTGGGATTGTATTCAGAGGTTAACATGAGTGAGTTTATGTAATTATAGCTCTACCTAGTCTCTCGAAGTCCCAGCGAGGCAGTATGAGGACTAAGGTGCACCTGACTCAAGCCGTGGTATTTTCATTCGTTCATATACATGTGGGACGTAACATCAATAACAACATATACATGTGAAAGTTGACAATGAATAAGGAGGACCCTTAAAGAATCTATGGGAGTCCTGGTGTGGTACTGTGGGTTAATGTGGTGCACTGCAAAGTTGATTTGAACCACAAGGTCAGTAGTTCAAGTTCACCAGCTGCTGCTTGGAAACCCTATACAGAGTTGCTGTGAGTTGGAACCAACTTGACAGCACTTAACAATAACAAGAGTTCTCCCTGGGAATGAAGATCTAACTTCTAAACAACTCTGTTCTATTTTATACTTTGTTAAAATCTTTTTGTGTGTCTTAACCAGGTTCTGACTCAGAAGACCTTTTGGAAGAATTGGTCTGCTGTTTGATGCAGTTAATCACCGATATTCCACTCTTGTAAGTTTCGGCTAAGCCAGGATTTATTTGATCTTTTTTTGTATATTGAATAATGATAATTGTCTACATGTTGAAGTATCAGTGGGTCCTGTATTATACTTTTATTTGTACTTTTATGGACTATGTTGTTGTTGTTGTGTGCTGTCAAAGTTGTTTCTGATTCATAGAGACACTGTATAGAGTTTCCAAGAAGCGATTGGTGAGCTTGAACCACCGACCTTGTGGTTCAAACTGACCTTGTGGTCCGGTGTTGTATCCCACAGCTCCACACCAGGACTATACATCCAAGGAAATCTTATTTGTGTGCTTTCTAAAATAGTTGCCTACCATCATCATCAAAGCAAGAATTTTATGTTGGTAAGGGGAAAATAACCAAATTCTTCAGCAACATTAAGCATAGAATGGCTAACAGCTCCTGCTAAGCAGGTTTAAGGCAAAGATTATTTGGAAGTTGAAAGTCAATTGCTCTGATACTTTGAAGCAGATCCCCTCTGTGACACAGCTGGTTGTCCCACCCAATACTTGTTCTCTCCATTTCCTTTGCCAGCCTGCCTTGAAGTCGTGGATGATTGGTGAGATGTGGGGGGTAATCTTTGAATGAGACTTCTGGGTACAACTCTTTAAGGGGAACTGACTCAGCTAGAAGGTACACTGTTTTGCTCTTGACACACCTCTTATCTGCTGTCTGGAATGTGGATGAGGTCTTTAAGGGGAACTGACTCAGCTAGAAGGTACACTGTTTTGCTCTTGACACACCTCTTATCTGCTGTCTGGAATGTAGATGAGGTCTTTGAGTTTCCTGGCCATTTTGGTACCATGAGACTCCCAGAGGCCTCTACTTTGACATCACTGAGTTGCTGAATCAAAGTCATCAAATGCCAGTCCCTCTTTCTCCTGGATTTTTCACGTGAGAAAAATATATACTAATTTGTTAAAGTTACTATAACTGGCTTTCTATTACTACAACTCTGATGTGGTGCTGTGGGTTAATGTGTTGGACTTCAAGATCAGTTTGAACTGCAAAGTTGGCGGTTCAAGCTTACTAGCCACTCCTCAGAAACCCTAAACAGGGTTGTTATGAGCAGAAGCAACTCGACGACACTTAACAACAACAGCAATTACAATAACTCTGTTACTTTTCAAGTAGTGATCATCAGTCTTTTTTGTTGTTGTTCATTATTTTCCCCCTGACATACCTTTCTAGACATTTCTCCCCTAATAGTCCCTTTTCCCAATGAACTGACCTCTTGGAGAGCCAGAAATCATTGTAATATTAGTGGGTTTTTTTGCTTTTTTTGTCCTCTAAAGAACCAATTTTCAAGGAATTATTTTTGAATGAAGAAATAGATTTTAAAGTGTGCCATCACAGAATTTCAACCTACATGTGGATATGATTGGGAATGTGCCGTTTGCCTGCAGCCCAGTAAGGAAAGAGGAGTATTTGTGAGAAAAATGTGCTCCTGGCCCTTACTGTGTATGAATGAAGTACCCATAATTTCCAGGTAGATTTAGAAGTGAGAACCACCAAGCCTGCTTGTAACCACTGGGACTGGAAGGTAGGACTGAGACAACTGAGGAATCACCTGAGAGGGAAGACACAGAGAAACGTTTCCTATGCAAGTTGAAGGCTGTGACAGACACGGCTATTGGCAAACTAAATAGCCTTTCCCCCTTCTCTTTCTAATAGAACCGAAGTATTGTTTGGGGTGGCATTGTATGCTCAGCAAGAGTTTTGGTGGCTCAGTGGGTTAAGCTTGGCCATTCAAATCCACCAGCCTCTCTACAGGAGAAAGATGAGATAGTCCACCTCTGTTCAGATTTACAGCCCGGATACCTTAGGGAGCAGCAGTTCGACGCTGTCCTACATGGGTGCTATGGGTAGGAACTAACTCGACGCCAGTGGGTTTTGTTTGTGGTTGGTGTGCCCAGCTTAATTTTCAGATACCCTGGCAACTAGTTTGGGCCAGTGAGATTTAAGCATAAGTCAGGAACTTTCAGGGCATGTAGTCTTCAGCCTTTTGCTTATGATCTTTCTCTTGTCATCCTTTCTGGATTATGGCGGCAGTGCATCTTGACATTGCGACAGTGAGCACCTCATAGACTAGCATGCCAGGAGCCTTCAGTATCCCAGAGACATGGATGACATGATGGAATTCTTCTGGAAAAAGGCCCCTGCCTCCTTTCAGCATCTGTGGGCCCAGCATTCCTTGGAGTTGTCCATGTGTCTTGGCATTAGTCTTCCTCTGGATCTAGGAGCCTCACAGTGCAGGAGACACCAGGTCCAAAGGAAATGCTCCGTTCCTAGCCCTGGATCATTTATCTCTATAGATTTCTTCTTATGTGAGAACAAACACCGGTTTTATCTATCCATCCTGATATGTCAGATTTCTGCTACATATGGCCAAATGCAATTCTTATTACTATAACACTATATACTGTAAACATGGAAATTCATTGTCAGGAAAGGTAGAAGTCTCAACCAGTCAGAGAATGTCACACATTAAGGTGGCAACCATTTAAAATTAAGTTTCTTCTTCATTCTTTCAGTTTTTTCTTTCTGAGAGTACACTCAAACACCAACATTTTCCTTATATTCTTCCCTTTGTTATATGTAAGTTAGTGTGGATTAGCTATTTTCCTTATATTCTTCCCTTTGTTATATGTAAGTTAGTGTGGATTAACTATTTTGACTTTGAGATGGTGGTGTTAGTTGTCTAGTGCTGCTGTGTGGGTTAATTTGCCAGACTGCAAAGCTGTTTGAACTGCAAGGTTGGCGGTTCAAGCTCACTAGTTGCTCCTTGGAAACCCTACATTGGGTCGCTATGGGTTGGAACTGACTCGACGGCACTTCATAACAACAACAGTGCTACTGTAATAGAAATGCCACGAGGGGATGACTTTAATAACCAGAAGTTTTATTGTTTCACAGTTGAGGAGATTACAAGTCCAAATTCAGAGCACTGCCTCTGGAGAAAGGTCCTTGTTTCCTCTCGGCATCTGTAGGCCTAGCAGCCTACAGAGATGTCCATGTGTTTCGGCACTAATGTTGTCCTGAATCCAGGAGCTACACAGGGCAGGACCCTCCCCTCCCCCACAGGTCCAAAGGACACACTCCACTCCTATTCTGGTGATAACAGGTCCCTCTGATCTCAGCTCACTTCTCTCCTTTTATATCTCAAAAGAGATTCATTCAAGATACAACCTAAACCTGTAGTTTGCCTCTGACCTCATTAACATCATAGAAGTGAGGATTGGCCCCACAGGATAATTCCATCAGACCAGAGCTTACCACATCAAATCATATAATGAGGTTGATTGGATTATGTGAGTTCTCATTATGAGGATAACCACAGCTCAACTGCTAAATCGTTGAGAATCCTGGCCCAGTCAAGTTGACACACAACTGTACTGATCACAGATGTCAACTTGAGATGTCCACTTAGGAGACAGCTGAATGGGTTTGGAGGTCAGGGGTGGTCTGAGTTTAGAACACGCACTATATTGTGCAGATACAGCTGGTCACTCCAGTGCTAGGAACAGATGGAATCATCTATGGAGAATGTGGAGGAGGATACAAATAGAGGATTTAGGATACAGCCTAGGACACGTCACCATATAAGGGTTGTTGCTGTTAAGTGCTGTTGATTTGGTTCCAACTCACAGTGACTTTGTATAGGGTTTTAGAGGAGCACCTGGCAGGTTTGAACCAACAGCCTTGGGATTGGCAGTCCATTGCTTATCCTAAAGTGCCACTCAACGACTCCTATTGGTGGTAGGGTTGTGTGCTGTGGAGTTGGTTCCAACTCATAGCGACCCTGTATGGGATTTCTGAGACTGTAAATCTTTACTGGAGCAGAAGGCCTCATCTTTCTGTTATAGAATTGCTAGTAGTTTCAAACTGCTGACCTTGAGATTAGCAGCCCGACTCATAACCACTGCGTTACCAGAAGCCAAAACCAAACTCAAACCCACTGCCATTGAGTCAGTTCGAACTCTAGGACAGAGTAAAACTGCTCTGGAGAGCTCCTGAGACTCTAAGGCTCAGCTTTTTCTAAAATTTATTGATAAAACGTGTTGGTGATTTTAAGGGAGATGGAAATAGTAAATTCTTATAGATGGCAAATAAACCTTGAACACAGTGAAGAGACCAGCCACTTAAACACTCTTGGGGAGCAGGCGGTGTTGTAATATATCAAACATTTTGGTGTTTTAATATGTTTATACTTCTTAAATGAACTGGAAATGCACAGACAACCAGATGTCTTGTATTATGTACACTCAACGTTAACCAGCTGCTGAAACAGTTTCTTATGATTTAATGTTCTTGGAACTTCATCCTGCAAGAAGGTTTGTCTTGGTAACGGTTTCCATGTGAAGGCAAATTACTCTTTATATGTTTCATGTACTACAACTATAGTGCAGTGTTTATGTATCAGTTTATAATTAAAGAGTGAATGTTGGCGTATGAAAGCAGGGGATACTATCACACCTGAGCCTCAGACTTTACACATTTAGCATTGGCACCCAGTGCTGCATCAGGAGGAACGTGGAAGGGGAACCAAAATTTCTTGGGCTTCCAAGGGTAGTTAAAAACTAGCTTACACATTTCTTATGTAACTCTGTTCAGTCAGTCTATTAATATTGTAAGCAAAATGGTTACCGAGACATACATACATATTGTTGTTGTTGTTAAATGCTGTTGAATTTATTCTGACTCATAGTGACCCTGTATAGGGTTACCAAAGCACAGCTGATAGGTTTGAACTGTTGACCTTGTGATTTCCATTGCAGTGTTGATCCTACAGCGTCACCCCCCCCCATTTAGAGATGTACGAAGAATCTTTTAAAAAGTACATAGAAAATGCATTTTATGAAATAAGTATACATAGATTTCAAAAATTTTTGTACCAAACTAAACTCATACTAACTTGCTATAAACATATATGAACTAGATCTAGTTTGAGGTACTATGAAGGATAAGATACCAGTTTGCAAAGAGC